AAAAAAAAAAAAAAAAAGAAAACCTATTTTTTGATCTTGATCTGGTTCTTTCTGGTCTCTTTTGTTCCTGTCAAATTTGAATCATTTGCAGCACATTTCTTCTGAAGCACAATTGTAGGAGACCAGAAGGGCTATTTTCCCAGTTCTGCAGAGGTCCAGCAATGACCAGTGTCTCAGACAAAGTACTGGTCCACACCTCCTATGACCCGAGTGGCTACAGGCCTAGCAATGTTTGCAAAAGAAGGTGAGCACATTCAGGAATGTGATGAGGGGGTTGAACAGGGAAAAAGCAGTGCTGGCACATGAGTAGCTATTCAATAAGTATTTATGAACTAGATGAATTGAGTGAACAAAAATGAAAGAATAAATGCACAGTTGATGGAGAAAGTGTGAATGCAAGTAAAAGCAAGATATGTCAGGGCTACAAAACTGACCATGCTGATCAGAATACAGAAGTCTGCAAACCTCAAAAAAAAAACTGAGGACATAGTAAGAGAGAAAAAGCAATAAAGAATCAAATAATGTTGAATAAGAAATGCCTATGGTAATGTGTTTTGAGTCTGGGAAGGAAATAGTAAGCTCATTAGGGTTATTCATCCATGCTAATAACAGTAATAACGGTAAAGCCAGCATAGTGGCACATGCCTCTAATCCCAGTACTTGGGAGACTGAGGCAGGAGGATCATTGCAAGTTCAAAACCAACCTGGGTTACAAAATAGCTCAAGGCCAGCCTTAAGTGCATGGCAAGACCCTGTCTGAAGAAGACAAAATAATAATAATAATAATAATAATAATAATAATAATACAATGAGTTCTTACTATGTGCCACATATCACGCTTAGTGATTGACACAAGTTTCTCTTTTTAGCCCTCACAATTTGAAGAAGTAGCTGTATTACTAATCCTATTTTACAATTGAGAACACAAAAGCTTAAGGATGTTGACGGAAATGTGCTCAAGGTCACAGGGTAGTAGGAGATGGAACCAAGGCTAAATCAAGTCTGTTGAAGTCTAAAATCAGCCCGTAATCACTGTGTTATTCTCCTCCTCTATTTCTACTGCTTAGAGTAGTATCTGGCCTGTAGTATGCACATAGCAATACTTATTGAATGGGTAGAGTGATGTGAACTTAAGCCACTGTGATGAAACTGAGCAAATTTCTGTCAGTCTCTTCAATATATGTTCTTGGCTTTATATTGCTTTAGAAGCTAATAGGTAAGTAATTAAAGGATTCAAACTCCATTCTTAATGTTGGTGTATTTCTTGTTTATTTGTTTGTTTGTTTGTCTTATAAGATAGGATCTTATTATGTAGTCCAGGCTGGCCTTCAACTCATGGCAATCTTCCTACCTCAGGCTGCTGAGTGCTGGGCCTACAGTTGTGCACCACCATGTCCACCCAGCGAGTGCATTAGTTTTGAAAGCATCATTCCCCTTAGCTAAAGCAACATCATGTTACTATTATCACCATTTTTCAAGCATCAGTAACACATTTCATACAGAACATATTTAGATCCAAGAACACCTTCAAATCAAATTAGTGTGATCTATAGCTATCTTTCACCTCTCTCTCTCTCTCTCTCTTTCTCTCTCTCACCAGGAATTGAACTCAGGTCCTTGTGCTTGCCAGGCAAGCGCTTACTCTACTGAGCTGGTTCCCCGGCCCCTTTCACATCTCTTTTGCACGTTGAATTATCTCTGAATCTAATGTTCCTTTCTGTATATAATTGCAGATGTGTACATGATACATTTTATGGACCCTTAGAATTGGAAAGGGCTTGAGAAATACATTTCCAATCATTTCATTTTAAAAACAAAAAAATGAAGAAAGTCTAAATAATAATTTCAGAATAATAACTTTTTAAGTAATTGCTATGTGCCAGTCCCTGAGCCGAGAGTGCCTCATCTGTTCTTATGTAACAATCCAGCAAAGTAGATGCTATTAGCAACCCTAGTTTGCAGAGTAGGAAAATGAGGCATAATGATTTTTTTTTTTTTTTTTTTTGAACCGGGGATTGAGCTCAGGCCTTTGTGCTTAGCCAGGGAAGTGCTTATTCCACTGAGCCCTCTCCCCAGCCCCCGGCATGATGATTTTTGTCAGACAGTTAGAATCTGAATCCAGGTCCACCTAACCCTAGAGCTGAAATTCCAGTCACTACACTCCAGTGTCCAAGATTATTTAGCTGATCAGAGACAAAGCCAAGAGTAATACCAAGTCTACTGCAACCTAGATCTATCTTTACTCCAAGACATAAATTTGTTCTTATTAATTTTTTAAGTGAAGTAACATTCTGAAGCCATTTTGACCAGTTGAGAACAATGATTTGCAAAATCTACCTTCTTCCATGCTACTCCTGATTTTATTACATCTTTCAGAGCAGAACATTTTCTCTGGCTCCCAGCACATGCCTCACCAGGATCAAGCTCTCTTCTCCAACCCTGGCCTAAGAAACAACACTTACATAGATAATGGAGAGGATTCCATTATAGTTTTTGGTAGAAACGTTGAGGACAATCTTTAGCTGTGACACCAGCACTTGGAAGGCAGCAGCTGTTGTAAATCCACCAACCAAAGGATCTGCCAAGTACCTCACTATGAATCCAATCTGTAGACTTCCAAATATGAGCTAGGATAAGAAGGGAGGAAAAACAATAAATTTTTGCATGAAAGAAAAGCCAACTCTGGTAATGTTAATGAATTAAGCTTAACACTAATTAAAGCACTGATCTCTGGTTTGCAGCACAAAAATACTTGGAAAAAAAAATCTGTATTTCCTAATGTTCTGTTTCTTCTCTTCTCTCCATCACTTTAAAATTCAAAGCAAAAATCATGTCACTTATTTCTGTGACTTCCCTTCTTGCATTCCCAGTTGAATCATTCATGTTCTTCTGTCTTTTTTTCTTTGATGATAAGTGAATCGAGACATGTGATACCTTGCAGACTCTTTAGTATCTGACCTAAAATAACCTAAGTTAGAAAATAACTGGAGTTCAGGAAATTAATTTGTTTTGCTTTTATGGAAATATTCAAGTCCCTTGTGTTTTAAGATTAAAAATCATGCCTATCTGTATTTTATGTATAAGTTTATTACCTGTATAATTCCAACCAAAAGAGTGAGGGTGCTTGCAATTAATACTCTTTGTGCGTCTCTGGCCTCAGTGTTTATGATGGTGTCCACCAGGGTTGTATTCAGTGCACTTCCATTACCGCCAGGAGTCACAAAGTGTTCGTCAGGCACCATGCTTAGAACAACAGATCCCACCATCAAACTGACCACAGGGAAAGGTCCTGAGGAAAACAAATCAGCACATCAATTATTTGTATTCTTCATGTGATACACATGTGCATGGGGGGGATGTCAGGGTGGGAGTTGTCAGCAGAGGTTTCCTGGCAGATATAGCATGCACATTTTTATTCTGTATAATATCATTCATTTCCTGGAGTATCTGATGTCCTGTTCTCTGTCTAAGTACCATGGTTGGTCCAAATTAGCAAAGGGAGAGAGTAATTTCTCTTCTTTTCTTTGCAGAACAAATGATTGTTTCATGTCAAAGGCTGCTATGGTTTGTGTCTAGTTGTCCCCCCAAAGCCTTGTGTATTCATGGGATGGAGACTTCTAGAGTGTGAGATTAATTCATTATCCACTGGGATTATGGGTGAGTCACTGGGATTATAGGTTTTACTACTGCTGAGATTATGGGTGTGAGTGCTATGCCCAACCTGGGTCAGAGAGCCTGAATTCAATGAGAGAGAGAGAGAGAGAGAGAGAGAGAGAGAGAGAGAGAGAGAGACAGAAACAGACAGACAGACAGAGAGAGACAGAGAGACAGACAGAGACAGAGACACAGAGAGACAGAGACAGAGAGACAGAGACAAAGAGACAGAGAGAGACAGAGAGACTCTCTCTCTCTGTTGCCATTGTTGGTCTTTTGCCATTGTTGTTGTTCAGCCACCATGAACTAGATTCTCTGTCCTGTGCCACTCTGCCTTGAAGCCAGCCAGGTATGGACTGAAACTGTGAGCTAACTAAACCTTTCCTTCCTTCATTTTTGGTGTCAGGTATTTGTCTCAGCAACCAGAGAAGAGTAACTGAAACAAAGGCCAATCTGTAAGAGCTGTGCTTTTAAGAGTTCTAATGTCTTCCAGCAACAAATCCATTGGCTATTTTTTTTTTTTTATGTATTTGGTACAGGGTCTCACTATGCAGCTCTGACTCATAGTGATCCTCCTGTTTTCAACCTGTGCAGCATTGGGGTTACAGACATGTGTCACTATGCCCAGTCTCAGTGTCTGGCTCAGCACACCTGGGGGTGGGGCTGGCACAGCATGCGGTGCCAGGGATTGAACCCAGTCCCTACGCTTGCCTAAGCAGACTCTTACTGTGCTGAGCTATCTGGCCAATCCTGCTACTCATGTTTGCTGCTGCTTCTGGTGATGGTGATCCTATCCTTTGGTCTTGGAAGGGTGTAAGGTTAGGAAGACTCAGTACCTATTAACCTGGAATGTCTAAATGTGGAGGACGCCAAAGAGAAAAGTCAGCTACTATATTGCTCACCGAGTCAAACATTTGGTGTTGACTGGACTCCAGATGAAGAAGTTCTTTCTTTCAATAACCTCTTTCTGATCTACAGACAAGGCCAGGTGCTAGGTACTGGAGGAGATACAGTGAGGCAAGGGGACATGGCTAAGGGTAGAGTGGTTGACTGTATTTGTTTTAAGATCATCCAGGTAGACATGTCTAGTTAGTAAATGGATGGAGAAACAAAATTATCTCTGGTACAAATGTCACAATGACACAGAATAGCATTGAAATAGTCATTCACTAGCACATCTAGCAAAAGAGGACTTAACATTTAGGAATGATATAAACACCTAACTTTTGGGCCATGCCAAGAGGCTATACTTGGTTTCTAAATTGTTTTGGCAAGATTTTGCCAGTCTTCAAATTTACTGACTTAAGTATATATCCTTATCTAGGCAGAGTGACACACAGGTGTAAACTCCAGTTACTTCAGAGGCAGGGGCAGCAGTATAACGTCAAGGCCAGTCTGAGGAACTTAGCAAGACCTTGTCTGGAAATAAAAAATAGAAAGGGTTGGCGATGTAGCTCCTGGGTAGAGCAAACATGTTGATCTTCAGTAAGAAACACATGCACATATGTGCATACACATACACACAAAGGTCTACTCAATGAGCTAATGGACTGTACGTGATGAACATAATCCAATAAAGGTTAAATTAATCTAGTAAAATGGTGCGTTCAAAGACCCCGGGAAGATTTTTTTTTCTTGTCACTTTCTATTTTGGAAGAGGACACTTTCTAATATGAAATCAAAGCGATTATGCTATTCATGATTCTAGATGTACAGGTCTTCCAAAGTGTAAAACAAAGATTGCTTATTGTGATTAAAAAAACATATAGAAAGAAAAAAAAAGTGTTTATGCTAAAATGAAGGTAGGCTTTGTTTTGTAGTCTTTCAGTTTTATTCTCTTCATGAAAGCATAGTCCTATATAAAGCTAATTACTGTCACTGATAGGAAAAGTAGGCAAAGCTGAGGTCTAATTTCTCTAGAAAACATCAATAAAGCAAAGGCATTCTATACATAATGTAGCCAAATCCTTTAAACATGAACAAATAAGATAGTAAAATATGCTTATAATTACCAACTGAGATGTGTCTTGATGTTCCAAAGATAAAATATGTCAGGATAGGAAAAAAGGCAGAGTAGAGACCATATTCAATAGGAACTGCAGCTAATAGAGCATATGCCATTCCTGAAAGTACATAAGAAATGATTAGGTTCACAAACAAAAGCTTTGTTTTATTTATACTGCACAAAGAAAAAACATCTCTAGGGCACTTTTGGTTTGTGGATTCCACACACCAGCCTGGCCTGACTGAGTTCCTTTTCTTACATAGAGGCTAGCTTTGCTAGTATGCAGACCACAACCAGTCTGTTAGGATATGGATTGTGTGGCTGTATGTTGACTCCGCTGATCAGTAAACCAGTTGTCAACTGATCACATCACCACTTAAAACCATCAAGCCAACATTTGCTTAGAAACTTGGTCAATTCAGTCCAAAGGCTCAGACCAGTTTGGTAAGCACACAGTTTGGTCTGAATGCGGTGTTCCTTTGTGTTCTGAAGCTCCTAGTTATTTTTGCACTTGCCCTTTCTCCTTTCCTGGTGAGGAAGAAAAATTAGTACAAAGCAAGACAAACTACGATAAACGTACTTAGCAGCAGGCAAGATAACTCTCTGCCCAGGTGGAAACCAGTTCTACCAGTGAGCTACCCGGCAGCCTCTGGGTGCTGACGTCAGGTCCAGAGCGATGAGCATATTAGTGTACTCAGACATAGGTGCCGGAAGAGGATACTGCCCTTTTCTTTGCTTTAGTTAAACACATAGGAGGTCGACACATCTCAACCCATCTTACCTCCTCACACTTCACTCTCAGTTAAGAAAATCAAGACTTTTAAACCCTGCCATTAGTGCAGGACTGTATGTGTAGCAATCTTTAACAAGTGATAGATCAATGACTTGGCCTACAGTCATTCAAAATTATTTCTTGAATGAATGACCTCAAATGAGGAAGTAGTTGGCTAAGTTATATGCCATACCTTATAATTCTATGTTATTCATTTTTTTTTTTGGTTTATGTTATTCTATGAAATGTACTTGATGTGACAGTAACATGGAAAGATGTGAAGTGAAAGTTTTTAAAGTAAAAATATAAAGAATAAAAGGTAATCAGTATGCATGTTTCCATTTTTATAAATGTGTATGCTGTACACAGTTACATATTTGGAAAGATTTTTAATATAATATGAAATAATTCAGATGTACAAAAAAACAACGAATAGGGCCAGCCAGATAGCTCAGCTGTTTAAAGCACCTACTTAGGCAGATGCAAGGACCAGGGTTTGATTCCCAGTATGTCGTGCCAGCCCCGCCCCTGGGACACACTGAGATGGCAACTGAGACTGGGTGTAGTGTCATGTGCCTGTAATCCCAGCACTCGTTAGGCTGAAAATAGAAGGATCACTACGAGTTTGATCTGTGTAGTGAGACCCAAGTAGTAAAATACAAAAAAAAAGCAATGAATAATAGAGTGAACACCCCTGTACTTACAGTCCAGCTTAAGAAATTATCATCAATGCAGTTAAAATTCTCTATTCTCTTCTTTAATTACGTCCTCTTCCCTCCTTCCACATCTACAAACCAGATAGTTTGTATACTCATAGATCCGCATCTATGGATCTAGTAGGAGATTTCCTAAAATATGAATGCATTATCTATATGGTAGGATCACAGGGGATTTCTACCTTGTATAGGTGGTATTTTTCCCACATTCCTTCTGTGTTTCCTATTTTTTCACAAAAACATTAATTCATTCAAAAATCTATTGATTTTGTAGCAACTATGTTCTAGGTACTATTAAAGTCTCTTCCCCAATAGAATTTGCATTTCAGAAAATATGCAGCATAGGTCCAAATTACAAGGAATTGCAATAATCAGTAGTCTCAGGAACATGGGATAGAACAGAATGCTGATTCCACAAAGGGAAAACAAGAAAACAAGAAGCAGGGAATAAATGCACAGCCTGTTTCCTATGGACACTTTTCAAGTTCTTCTCAAATTCCCATTTCCTAAATAGGGCCTTGAAGTCCTCACATGCTTGGAAGATAGAGACTTTTTCAGATTTTTGTTTTTTCATTTTATGGATTTAATACAGGGTCTCACTACACAGCTTGGAGTAGTAGGGATCCTCCTATTTTCAGCCTCCCCAGTGCTGGGATTACAGGCATGCACCACCACACCCAGACTCATTCGAAGGCTCAGCACACACAGGGGCAGAGTTAGGGCCACATGCAGGACCAGGGATCCAGTCCTGGTCCCTGTGGCTTACCAAAGCAGGTGCTTAAACCACTGAGCTATTTCATATGGACTATTTAGTAACAACTGCTACTTATGTGTGTTATAATAATCTTTATTACAAAGGAACTTGATTATGACTATTTTGAAATCATAGCTTGCAAAGAAACACAAATCTTTACTTTAAATTGCAAATCTCAGGGTTGGTACCCATCAGCTTTAGGATAGGTCATACACTGATAAAGCAGATGCTACCAGACACCTGGAAACATCCACAGGCTGGGCTTCCTCTCAGTGAGGATGCACAAGAAGATGGAACCTAAATCTTGGGGACTTCCTAGCCTCAGGAACGGTGAGAAATACATTTCTATTATTTATTACATTAATAGGTAAATACACATCAAAGGCAGTAGATGATTGGCTTCCCATTATCTATGAGTAAAGACGGAAATAAAAGGGTTACATGGATCTTTGATTGCCCTAAAGGGCCTTTTTTAATAACTAAAATTTTTAAAAGACCCCATTATACTTAGAAACTCTTGTTTCCTGGAAACCTGAACCTGTCATCTCTGTTTTTTGGAAACCTGAACCTTTCACATTCCCTGAAAATGCAGCACGAAGTCTAAGGAATTTCAGAAGTACTCCCTTGATTCTGGCTGTCTCTGTCTCTGTCTCTCTGTCTCTCTGTGTGTCTCTCTCTCTGTCTCTCTCCCTCTCTCTCCTTTTTTTCTTCCCTCTCTCCTTCCTTGCTTCATTCCTTCCTTCCTTTTATGTGGCAAAACTCCAATCCAGCAGAACAGACATCCGCCTCTCCATGACAGCTTCCAAGTGGCTGAACAAACTGGACAGGAGCATTAGCCTCAGGCTAGCCAGTCTCCTGTAACATTTGTGATGTTGAGCCTCACGCAGGCCCTCAGTACTGCCTGGTGAGCCAGTTACACTTTCCCAGGGTGTATGCCTCTCTTCTCTGTCACACAACTGGCCAGACCTCCCCTCACCTCCTCAAGCTGCCCATCCTCCTCTCTATCAAGCTCCAAGTTAAGAGTCAGATCTTAAATTTCCCTGAAAGAATCCATGAGATGCTCCCAGGCAGCTTTTCAGCCAAAGTCTGACCTTCTGCATGGACTCCGTGTGAGCTGTCCATCTTCCTTTGAAGAGGGAATCTCTTTCTCATCTTTGAGAAGTAATCTTTCCACTTCTGTCCTGGAACTCATCTAAGCTTGCTTTCCCTAACTTTGCTTCTAGAAATTTCTCTCCTCTGCCTCCTGGACCACAACTCTGTTCACAATATGCTTAAGCAGCTTCAGTTAGAAAAACAAATCCTCCTTCAGTCCACTTTCATCCTTTATCCCTCCAGGTCACAGCAAAATTTCTTAAATACAGTCTGTGCTCCTCCACATTTTCTACCTTCTAGTTTTTGTGTACTGCTCTCTTGGCTTCAGTTACCTCATTCCTCTCAATATTCTTTTTTCCAACTCCCTGAGTCCAATTTTCCAGGCCCACTGTTCCCCCTCCTCATTTCCCAGCTCTAAGCACACCAGCATTCTTGCCTTCTCCATCTGCCCTTCTTGCCTAGAATTCCACTTTTGTAAACCTCACCTCTACGCTGGCCCCTGCCTGCTTTCCTTGAACATCTTAAAAATAGTGGCTCCAACTTCTCTGCCTGGCATCCCCACTTGGATATCTCACATGCACCTTAAACCTCACATGTCCAAAGGGAAGCCCTTGATTTCCCATGCCAACCCCCCTTGGCAGCTGGTGTTTGCCACTATGGTACATGGCATCATCGTCTATCCAGTTACACAGGCCAACAACCTTAGAGTTGTCTTTGATTTTCATTTGTACCATCAGAATCTTAGTGATTTTTGCTGCAAAATATATTGTAGCACTTGCATATCTCCCCATGTCCTGCCTGATCTGCTCCACACTGCCACATCTGGCCTCAGGGCTGGGTCTCAGATAAGGGATGAGGGGCCTCGAGGCTCCCACAGAAAGAGTGCCTCCCTTGCCTCCCTTCCTTACCTACCTCCCCCGCTGCTCCACAGCCACCAGAATTTTTTGTGTTCCTCCCTGAAAAGTGTGCACTTTTTGTCCCTAGGGCCTCTGCACCTTTTACTGGTCTGTTCTTCTTTCTGCTCATCACATCTGTCTTATCATTTACCTCCTCCACATAGCTTCCCTTGATTCTTGTACCTAAACAAACCTTCTCCAAAAATTAATTCCTGCAATGGTATATTTAACCACTTCCAGTGAATATCACAATCTATAACCATTTTTCTACTTATATGCTTATTTAATTCCTATCTCTATCATTGGAAATGAGCTTCATGAGGTCAGTACTATACTTGTCCCTGGTGGTAAATCACTAAATCCCCATGGCTGAATACCTAGCATACAAAGTTATCTATAAATATTTGTGACATAAACAAATATATGAATGGCTGGATTAACCTCCCAGAAATTCACCATACAAAGATAACTGTAGAGATAATGTTTCTGAAAAAAGATACTAGCTATAAAGTAAGGAACTACATACAATGTACAGATTAAGACTGAAAGAATCAGACTCTAGGTTCAAATCCCACCTCCGCCACTTACAAACTTCATGACTTAGGCAAGATTAAATGGATTTCCCATCTATTCAAAGAGAGATAATACTAGATTTTACCTCACAGGGATTATGTGAGGATTAAAGAAGATGCCTGGCCCAAACCCTCAACATAGTGTCTGATACATGTTAAACAAAATTAATCCTAACCTACTTGTCTATAAAATGTTGGAGGACCTAGATCTGGATATACAGTTATATTTAAATACATTTTTTTCAGTCCTCTTTGCTAAATATTCATGGAACCATTAACTGTATGTCAGTCTCTATGCTAGGTGCCTGCTTACCAAACATAAACCAGGGCTGTTGCGGAGAGTGTGGCCCTGCCCTGTGCCTTCAGGATTGAGAACCTGCTCCATCCTATAGGCCACAGAACAGCCTTGATCTCTGTGGGAATCCCTGTGGCCTGCTCTGAGCTCACCAGCCAGATTTTAGCTCCCCATATTGCTCAACATTTATTACTAACTCCTGAAATAGTTTACTTTGAAGTCATCTTTTATACCTTCACTACTTCCCATCACTTGGCAAACTCTCACTTAACCTTCAGGGAAACAGCTTTGACAACTCCACCCCATTCCCAGGCCCCAAAGACTGGGTTGAACACACCTCCTCACCGCTCCATTAGCAGGCAGTGTTTCCCTTTGTGCATCCATTTTTCCACTGGACCGTGAGGCTCCTGGCAGCAGGTGATGCATTGTAATTTTGCCAGTATACCTAGCATCTAGCACATACTAGGTACCCCATAAAATTACAGTGAGTAGGTCTTCTTCTACTCCTGTAGTTTGAAAGTTTGGGCAGTTGGGGGGTGTTCAGTGCAGAATCAAAATGGTGAGAAAGAAGGACAGAAGAGGACAGCCTGCTACATGGCAGCTATGTGATAGATTTCCGAGATGCTCATGGCAATATTGTGAAATAAATTCAGTTTCCAAACAAACCCATTCTGGGATATTTTCCTAGAATATTTAAAATAAGAGGAGAAGCAAAAATACTAATATATAGTCTAGCTATTTTTTTTCACTTCTCTTTAAACCAGCTTCACACTGTGTACATTGTGAGTAATTTAATGACCTGAAATAATCATTTTTTTAAAATATAAGCTGAACAACCGGGCCCAGTAACATACCCTATAAGCCCAGTTACTTGGGAGACTGAGGCAAATGGGTCACAAGTTCACCCATGCTGGGATATTTTCCCAGCAATTTTGTGAGACTCTGAAGGTAAAATATGAAAAAGGCTTGGGATATAGCTCAGTGGTAAAGTGTTTGCTTAGTATTCATGAGGTCCTGAGTTCAATTCAATCAGCATTATTGGAAAAAAAAGGGGGGGGCAGAACAGAATAGAAAATTGGAGTGCATCATTTGTAGTGAGGATGACTTTGGTTATGAGTGTGCAGCCCATGGTGCAGCTTGGTTTACTGTGAATTGTGGCAAATCAATTCAGGATGCTACTGCTTGGTGTACGCCTGTAGGCTGGAGCTACACAGCTAAAAAGCAGCAGGATTTCCCAGGAAGAGAAGTCCACACAAGAGGAGAAAGGAAATGTATTCCTCCACCAAGCGGCTCTGGAGAGAAGATGAAAGTCTTGAAGGGTGAGCGGCCTTGGGACAGAGCCATTGTAGCAGGAGGGGCCATTTGGAACTGCTGCAGGGCACTGTGACTCTCAGTCAACTTAAGCCCATCCACCAGATCCTTACCTTGCAGAGTACCCACTAGCCCAGTACTGACTCCTGAAATGACATCACTGAGCAGCCAGTCCTTGATTCGGTACTTGGGGAGCCAGTCCAGCATGGGCAGGAGACTCTTCACCACACCAAGGGCTCTCTTTCTTGAACAACTACCAAAAGGCAAGAAAAGTGGGTTACCAAACTGATTCTAGTCATGACCAATTGTAGATCACAAAGCCACGGACTGAACTCTGTGGATATTTATCATTATTTAGAAAAAGAATAAGAATCTCATGGAAAATACTAATAAAGTGCTTGTCATGGTTTTGCAAAGATTTGTATCTATCCTTTTAAATACATTTTACTAGGAAACACAGGATTAAGTGTCACCACCCTTCTACATTTTTAATCCTCTGAAAATATTCTTACACAAGAACTCCTTTTCTGCTTCGGCCAGAGAATGATCAATTTGGAGTCTCTGTGGGAAGATTAATTTACAGACTTCTAACCTGGGCACCACCTTATTCTTCTTAAAGAAAAATAAACAGTGTATATCTCGTCAATACAAGCTTGGAGGAACCAGCATTGACAAAAATCTTAACAAGATGAATATATACGGTGTGCTTTGCTACTTAGCAATTTTGAATTCAACCAAAGATAAAAGCAAAAGATCAACAATAGGTAGACATTATTTAACTTACGATATTTATGAGACATTTAGAAATTTTAATGATGGTTCACCTTTTGATATTAGGGATTTATTTTTAGGAAGCTAGAGAATGTAGTTGTGTTTTTTAAAGTTATTAGACATATACTAAAGATATACATAGCCCTTTTCTAGGGGCTTTGCAATTGTATATTCAGCCAATCATACATCATAAATAATCAGGAAAATGTGTCTGTACTGAACATGTACAATTTTTTCTTGTCCTTATTTCATAATCAATATAACAATTATTTTCATAGCAGCTACATTGTATTAGGTATTATAATTATAAGTAATGTAAAGATGATTTAAACTGTACAGGAGGAAGTCAAGTGTGGAGGCACACAAATCTCTGACAGGCTGAGGCAAGAGGACTCCAAATTAAAGTCTAGCCTGGGCAATTTAGCAATCTAATGAGACCCTATCTCAAAACAATGAATGACTGGGCTGGGAATATAACTAGATGTGAAAGCCCTAAGTTTGATGCCTAGTACTATTAAATAAATAAATAAACCAATACAGGAGGATATGCACATTAAGTTGCTTTTTATTAAAGCAACTCGAATTTCGTGGGCTTTGGTACCTGCAGGGGTCCTGGAACCGATCCCTTGAATAGGAGGAGAGAACAGTAACAGACAAAAAGATGCCCAAGAGATTTGCTTCAGAATAATACTAGAGGTGGCAGGTGGGTGGCGACAGGTGAAAGGGGTGAACTGAGTGGATTCTTGTGGAAGGATCAACTGACTAAGGAGTAAAAGACTGAGCGAGGGTTCTTCGTGCTACTCTAGTTTGTATGTTTTAAGTATTAGGAAATAAGAGGTTTTTTAAAAACCAGAAACATGTGGCAATCGATTGACTGGCCTCGGTACCTGTGCGGGGAGGCACTTTGGGTGGAGAGACACGGTGGTCCTCGCCAGGGGTCTCGTCGCCTGGGGCACACGGGCCCCCGGCTGGCACACCGTTGCTCGCTCTGAATGAATCTCAAGCTGGTTGGCTCCGGAGTTCCGTGGACTCCTGGTCAAGGGGTGCGTTTGTTTACTTATCATTTTTCTCTCCTTCCCTGTGCTGAGGATTGAACTCAGGACCGTCGCACTGAGGTGCTCTCTAGTACTTCTTACTTTTTAAAGTTTTGACACAAAGTATAACTAAACTGCTAACTTCCACGGACTAGGCTCGAACCCAGTGTGTTCCTCTTGCCTCTTGTCTGGGAGTGCTCACAGCTAACTGACATCCTTTAGAGGAGCCCCTTTACCTCTCCTTGCCCCAGCCAGGCAAGGGGAAGGCACCAGAGAGCCCCTGCGCTCCGGGCTTCAGCAAGCAGGGGAAACAGAGCCGGCGCTCCGGAGCAGAGACCGGGCAGCCTCGCCCTGGCCGGGGACCCTCTCTTCCCGCCCCGCGCTACCTGCAGCTCCGGGCCAGGCTGTCCCGCAGCGTCCTGCGCTCCTGCAGGCGTCGCTCGTGCCGCTGCTGGAAAAGGAGCTCGCTGAACACCGGCCGCGACACCGTGTAGCTGCGCTCGGGGAGCGGCGGCTCCGATCGCGCGCCTGGTGCTGCCATGACCTGCGAGGAGAGGAGCGCGGGGAGAGGCCCGGGGCCGTGAGCACCTGCGCGCCCCGCTGCACGCCCGCGGCCGAGGCCCCCACTCCACCCGCGCCTCCCTCCGCCTGCGGCCCGGGCGCTGTCCGCGTCCTGAAATCCCCGACCCGCCGGGGCGCGCGGGATGGACGCGCTCCTGGCTCCGGGGATGCGCTCGCCGCCGGCCGGCCGGCAAATTCCAGCAGCCTGCCGCAGCTCTCCGGGCCTGGGGAGCAGGCGCCTCCACCCCGTCGCCTCGGCGTCCCGGCCGCTGGTGCCATGCTCCCCGTGGTGTCCGGTTGTCCCTGCCGGTGAGGGCGGCGAGCTCACTACCCACCTGCTGCGAGCGCGAGCGCCTCCCCAGCGCCGGGCGCAGGTCCGCGCCTTTATAGTGCGTGGAAGGAAGGCAGGGACGCGCTTTATTTATGGAGCAACAGGGACACCTTGGTCGAAGGAAGGACACACCGTCTGCAGTCTTTCCCCACTTCCTACCGAGAAAGAAGCCCTACCCCTCCGCGTGCTTTCCCTTCCCGAATCCGGAGGGCTGAGTCTCACTGGCTGTCCCGGGCCGCCCGGATCGCCGCCTCCCCACGACCAAGGCGAGGGGAGGCCCGGCTGCACTTGCGCGGCTCCTGGACCCCAGGTCCAATGCGTCTCAGGGCTCCGCGGTCCAGCGCGGGTCGCTCCGACCGAGTGAGAGGGGGTCTTTAGGAGGTCTTGTGTGTATTAACAAGGCTTTGGGGTTGTATAAAGTGTTTTAGGTGTACCCAGTGGGTGTGGTTATAGAGCTCATAATTTACTCAGATTTTAGATCTCTTTCTTCTCTCCCTCTCGTTATATTTCACAATCAAACTCAAGCGTTCTGTGTCATCGTCGCCTTCTTCTTCTTCTTCTTCTTCTTCTTCTTCTTCTTCTTCTTCTTCTTCTTCTTCTTCTTCTTCTTCCTCTTCCTCTTCCTCTTCTTCTCCA